TCAGCAAAACCATTTTTATATCAATAAGCTTTTCTCTTCTGTCACATATGGGCCTATTTTTTTTTTTTTTTTTTTTTTTTTACTGTTGGCAAATATTAAGAACCTGTTTCCAAATTGGAAATTAAAAGCACTCATTGTCTTACTTTTTTGGCAAAGTAGCTAATATTACCTTTTTATGAAGCTCAAGTGATATGTGTGTAAGATGGCGTTGGACCATCAGAACCTGTTATATAAACTGCTGTAGTCTGGGCTCAGATACAAGTTTGGGTCCAGTCACGGAAATGTAAGTGATTTAAAGTTATTACGAGCCAAAATAAGCAGCCAGTTTGTGATGAACCAACAGAGAATCGTCACCCGACTCTCAGCTCTCTGCAGTTTCGCCTCAGCTCCACGAAGCTGCCCCACAACCTCTGATCTCATCACCCGTGTTTCCAGCAGCTGTTTTCAAAGACAGAGGTGTGATAGACCCAATGTAGACTCTCATTATCATGCTCTCTCTAACACCCTCACACTCTATCTCTGTCACTCCCTCGCTCTTTAAATAACTTAATAAAATGACAATATGGAAGACATTTTGTTTCACAGGTGAGGCTTGTCACCAAATCATTAGGGATCACCCTCCAGGCACCATGAACACCTGGATTAAAGTTTACGGCACTTTGGCTGCTAAATGTCAATAAACAGAAACTTATTCTGTAAATATAAAAGAACTGGACAGAGAGAAAATGATTGTGTCGGCACAGAGACACAAATAAATAAACACATGTAGAACATTTGAGAAATATTCTGGGCTCAGTTTAAACTCCTCTGTCACATGGTTTAACTCATGCGACAGCCTCAAATCTATTAAAATGACTCGCCTGTTCTTGCTTCTTACATTCTTCAGTTTTTATTTCATCCATCTTTTCCTTTCTATCCATCTGTCATCTATCAATGTTTTATTTGCTTGTCTGTTTCTCTCAGAAAGATGATATACATTAATCACCATTAACAAGCCATCAGTCAGTCCACACTATCAGCCTCTGGAAAAGCTCTGGGCTTTACATCACGATGACACCACAGATTACAAAGATTATTCACTGTTCTCTGTTTTCTATCTTTGGGAGCAACATTAAACATCTCTCTAGTCCCCACCTCCATCTTCATTTTCACCTCGGAGATCATGTGGATTTACCAGATGAAATCAATAAGGCATCATAGCTTTCCTCTGGATTCACCAGTCGATCGGTTTCACACAAGGAGCGGGCGGTCGTCACGGTTTATACACACTCCTCGTCTGCTCCGCTTCCCTGTGTGGGTGCGCTGTTTTCGCCTCCTCGAGACCTCATCAAAACCAAACCCCCTAATGTTTCAGCCACGATTTCACAACTCTCTATTATTCTGATTAAGCCACTTCCTTTTGTCCTTTACGACGCTATTAATAAAAGCTGCTTTATGGAATGATTGAATGGGCCTGACAGCGTATATCATTACCATTTAATTAATTACTTGTCAATCCCACCTTGTGATAATTAAAAAGGATATCGTTTGGCGTTTCACTCTTTTTCATTTGGAAATGACAGTCTGCCACTCACTTTTTCCAATAAAGCCTCATTCTGATTAATTCCCAACGGGCTGAAGTAAAGATTAATCGCATGCATGACTGAAACATAGGACTAAAAAAACAGAGAGAGTAGCATGTAGTCAGGACTGCATTGGCGCGGTTAGTTAATATGATTATATAACTAATACATTCTTTTTTAGGGTGACTACGTAACACCGTGGCTCACATGGAAAATGCAAAAATACTGGGCATTTCCAAAGCACTAATTCCATCAGTACAAGAATAGAGTCATATCACACTCTCTCCGCTCTGCAGCTGTGAGCTTCACTTTACAAGAGGAATAATTTCAATCACTCCTGCTCTGCTGTTTTTCTCACTGTCAATGAAACTCAACATTTTCCGCATAAGTCAAGTCAAAGGAAAAGCCGAGCAGGGATGGGAGGGATTATGCCCCTGTGAGTCACAGGAAGGCTTTTAACTTGACAGAGATAAAAAATAAATAAATAAATAAAAAAAACTGCAAGATCAAAGTGACTGTAAATATTTAGTGAATGAAAACAGTATTTCTGTTAGGGAAGAGAAACTCAGAGCAGTGGAGTACTGAATGATATATGAGTCTGTACTGAAAGTTATTAGTGCTGTAAAAATATTTTATCACACCATATGCTGAATTTATCAAAACAGCATGTAAACATGGAGGTAGGTTTGAATTTGCATTAAGAGGAAGTAAGTAAATTCAAACAGGAGCGAATCAGAAAACAGGCTTTTCACTAAGATTACTACTCAGGTGAATTCAGGAGGAACTAGAGATGGGATCACAGCAGCCGTCAACATGTTGATGTTGTGACCCACAAGTTCTCGGGAGTCATTACTACATTATTACATGAGTCCTGAGTACGCATCATTTTGATCTCAACTACACACGTAAAGTTTGTCTGGAGTCAGGCCTGATACTTTTCACTCTCCTCTTTGCTCAGTTTTGGTCTCCACATAGACACTATTTTCATGTCTGACAGCAGCAGCCACACGCTGAATAAAGGCCTGTTTCAAAGACATTCTGCAGCCGAGCTAGCTAACGGCCACTGTTTCTTTCTCAATTTGTGACACATATTAAACCAGTCAACATGATCGTATAATAATGCATGAGTAATAATAAATCAGCACAAAGGCACAATCAGCGTCAAGATCATCATCGTCTGTTCTGTTGCTCTTTGTCATCGAACAGCCTCCCTTCACCTGTCGAGCTGAAACCCGGGAGCTGCATCTGCTCTGTGTCGACACAGAAACACACCCCGTCTCTCAGCTCGGGTCAGTGTGCGTGTTTGATTAGCAGTGGTAGAAATTTCCGAACAGTGGATCCATGTAATCATTCAATTCAACTTGAAAATCCAAAAAAAAAAAGAAAGAAAGAAAGTGGGAGTTCCAGGGTTTTCATTTGATATCAGTGATATCCTCCACCTGTCCGCCTCTCATTTCTGCTATCCTGCCTCATCACACAACCTGTCCACGCTCCGCTACACCTGCCCGTCCATGAGTCTGTGTGCATGATTGCATGCCTTCCTTGCACGTGTGAGTGATTTGATATCCGCACATGCTTGTGTGTACGTCTCCTGTGCGAGTCCTTCCCATCACATCTCTGTCAAAGTCTTCATACAGAACCACCTGCCCCCCTCCCGACCCCCCCACAGTAAGCATTAATGTGCGAGCGTCACATCCTGAATCCAAAATGAGGGCGCCGATTCATTACGGCTTGATGACAGACGCAGAGAAACGCAGTGGATATCTGGGAGGTGAGAGCAGGAAACAGAAAGACGGAGAGATCGTGTGAAAGGAGGGGAAGAGGTAAATGGATGAAAGGGAGAAAACGGGGAGACGGCGATAGAGAGTGAGGAGAGAAGCGTGACTGTGAGAGAGATGGAAGCGGAAACAAAGAAAAGTCCTTGTGAGTCGTCCCATCCCAAATTGATTGTGACTGTTGGCCGGAGCTTGATGGATATCTGAGCCTTGATTGGAATTTACATGCCAGACACAACCCTCCTCCGTCCGTCCCCAGCACACCCAATAACCCACGGCGATCTCAACCTGCTCCGAGTGATAAGCACAACGAGAAAGCGCTGGCATATTTAGCCCCAACAATGGCAGCGCGCAGAGTTTCTGAGGCCCGGAGAATGATGCATTGTTTATGAGAGAGAGTATCATTTCAACAGTTGATTAATGGTGCAGGAGCTATCATCAGCTGCCATCGCGCCGCGGGGGCACACCAGGCCCAAATTGGATGAGTGGAAGGTGAGAGGAAAGGTGCTCGGTTGCTAGACGGAATGGAACTATCACATGGAGATATTTCTTCGCCCTGGCTCTGTGTTTGCTCTGCGGGCCTGCACGCCTCCACAAAAATGGGAACTTTAAACAGCAGCAGCAGCATCCCCAGGGATTCACTGTCATTTCCCAACTCTACACTTCAATAAAAGCAAACAGACAACATTACTTTGTAATCTGAGGCTCCAAATGGAATATGACCTGAATAGAAAACACTCCTGTAAATATTTCAGCGGGAGAAGGAGATTCGAGTGATACTGAAACTGAATCTTCTGTTGAAAGCTTAAACAACCGTATTTCTTCTTTTCCTGGCTTTCCTTTCCTTACATTTACCTTCATGTTTTGTTTGGTACAGCCCTCATCTCATGCACTCACTCTAAACTCTCTTCTGTGTCCCAGTGGGGGCAGCACTAGATTTAGTTTCTCCATAGCAGAATCAGCAACAACAAACCACCTATCTGCCTGGTCTGGTAAATTCTTATCAAGAGTTACAGCATTGTATAACGGACACAAGTGTTTTGGCAGAACATCATGATGTCACAGTGAAGTTCACCTTTGATCATTTGGATATAAAATACCGTCACTTCATTTTATCTTTATAGACATTTGAGTTAAATTGTGTCATAACTAGTGTTTCTGTTATATCGCATTCACAAGAATGTGAGGTCACAGTGACCTTGACCCTTGACCTTTCACCACCAAAATCTAGTCAGTTCATCCTTGAGTCCAAGTGAATGTTTGTGCCAAATTTGAAAAAGTTCCCTCAAGGCGTTAGTGAGACATTGCGTCCATGAGAATTGGACGTACGTAAGTCGTGGAGATGTAATAATCCATACGGCATCTTCTGCTCATTCATTGATCCCTGTGAACAATATCAAAAACTTTCTGTATGCACCGCCAGACATCTCTGCAGAAGAGATGGCAGTTTCCACGTGGCCTTGGGATCCTTATATGTGACAAAATATCAACTGACGACGGCTCACGACACCTGAGCTGAGTTTCATCTGCAGGTGAAAACCATGACGATAACTCTCGGCATGTTGATTCCATTACAGTGTTTATTAGACGTGATGTTCTGTGCTGACGTAATACTCGGTAAACAAAGACCTTGTCAGAGTCAAACACTTCTCCCTGTACTCACCCATGTTGCCTGTGCGTACGTGCAGCCGGCCCTTCACAATGGTGCGGACCGTCATGGGGCCGGAGGCCGTGTGTCGACCCAGACCTGTGCTCGTCAGCAGGGTGTCCTCCCCCACGTAGTCGGTGGTCAGCACCTCCACCTCATGAAGAGCCTGCACTGCTGATTTACCCTGACGCAACATGTACTGGGGACGCAGAACAGGGTGTGAGGAAAAGACATAAGGTGCATGTAAACTCAAATGTAGTGAGGGGAAAACAACAAAACAAAGACGGAGTAGCAAGAAAATGAAATGACATGTCAGTGGCTGAGGAACTGTTGGGGTTTGTGTTCTTGCTAAATGGATGAGGTCAAGTTCAAAATCAGCTCTGCCTGCTTGTAAATGACTCCCTCGATTCTTTCTCATTAAACCCTTTACAAATTTCACACAGTTGCAAAACGAATCAATTCCACATCAAGGTTGTTTTGAGAGTTTCTGTCCAATTAATAAACAGCAGAAGTGAAAAGCCTGGAATTTAAGAAGCTTTAATCTGTGGTTTGTTTTTCTTCAGGAGGTTAAAACGACAGGAAAAGTTGGTGAGTTCTCTGGACAACTCTGGAAGCAGCACTAAAGAGAAATGGGGTTATTCAGAACAGAATCAACACTTTGGTGCAAAGAGTTTAAACTCCTTTGCCCCTTTCCTGTTAGAAAAAAACACTTATAAAGTTAAAAACAGCCCTCGTGTTTGTATATCTCTTGTAGACATAAAGAGAAACCATTTATCATAAGTTATGAAAAGTCTGTTTTATAAGTTTTCTTAGGTTTATACAAATAGATGTGTTTGTGTCTGTTGTTCTGTTATCAGCAGCAGTGTTCTCTGCAGCGCCAGGTTCACTCTGATAAATGTGTTAAAACAATCTGCAGCTGCTGCATGAACCCATGACAGATGATGTGTCATGAGTTGACGTTGCATGTGTAAACAGAACGTCTCTTCTTCTTTGTTTTAATTCTTCACTCAGAGTTTACGCTGTAATAAAACGACCACAGTAACAATCACGACTGTATCGGTGTCACCTCGGGTCGACCTCGGGCTCTTACCTTGAGCTCGATGGCGGTAGAGCCGATGAGGAGCAGCGAGGTGCTGTCCCAGATGTCGATGTGCATGGTGTGAAGCGCCAGGTAGCGAAGGAACCAGCGCTTCTCTCCCGGCCTCAGGAAACTGTCGTCTACTCTGAACTGGACCTGCAGACCTGGAGAGCCTGAGAGAGGGAAGAAAAATAGATACTATACATAAAAGTATAATTAAATATATAAAGCAGTCATGAATAAAATGTTACCATGGAAATATTAATGGACTGCACTGTATATGACACCATAAAAAACCTGACAAGGACACTACTAAATTAATTAAAAGGTTCCCTGTTAATGAGTTTTACATCATCTTTATGTTTCCCGTAGGTTTGGAAGTCAGTGCCGGGGAAGTGGGATTTGAAAGGTAAGGGATCCTGTGATTTTAGAAACTAGAGATGGGATATCTGCATTGATTTTAATCTGAATTTTTCTTGTCTGTCTCTCACAATTGGTACGAGACTAAATCCCTTTAATGTGTTACCTATTTGTTTGATAAACTGCATTGATACACCAGAAAAGCAGAGCCTCAGAAACTGAAGTAGTGTAAATACTGTACGTCTCCACCGTCTTTCCTCTCGTCCATCTGGTTTGAATACGGAGGAACAGTCATCATATCCGTCACCAGCCTTGTGGACAGATCTAAACTGGTACAACAGCCATCTACTCTGAGTCACTTGGTCTGATGATTGCGCTGCATGGGAGTACAACAACCGGCGAGTATGAGGCCATTTTACAGAATCAGGAGCCCCCACCCCCCAGGGTTCCCATAATTCAAGATGATAATGGCTCCTAACACTCTGCCAAAAAAACCTCAAGAGTGATTTCATCAACAGCGGGATAAAGTCATGACTTTAATCAACACATCCACAATCACTTCTGGACCTTTAAGAGGAGCAAATGTCTCTCTTCATCACTCCGAAGACACAGTTTTCTTTTTCAGAGAAAATACCACACGCACAGTTCGTTAAGTGAAGTTGTTGAGGACAACAGGCGGCTGAAAATCTCATTAGACATTTATGTTGTTAGCCATTTATTTTGTCCACTCCTGCAAAGGTTACATGCAGGGACACACACAGCAGCCATTTCATTTTGATGAAATCCCTTTAAAGTAAAAGCCCGAATTCAATTTGAGGATGTAAAACGAGGGCCCTGTGATTCTCTGATGACGGCTTTCAAACCTGTCTCATCCCCCAACTTAAAGCAGTTCACATGAAACTCACTCCATCTGAGATCCAACTCAGCTGGTGAGTGGGCACACCCAACCTGCAGCGGCGTGTTAACGTTACCATGTGTGTGTGTGTGTTAAAGGTGTAAGTGTGGATCTGCAATTCCCAGAATTCTCTGTATCAAAGCCCCCATGCTGTCTTTACTCCCATCAGCTGAACCTGGCGAGGAGCAGCCGGCTGCAGAGAGGTGGAGTAATGAGGACCTTTGGTGACAACCCCGCTGTGTTAAAGAGACCAGCATGAACTGAAGGAAAACTCGTCTCTTTTTCTTGCTGTACTCCCATGATGCATGTGTGCAGACAGACAGCCTGTTCAGAGGCCACCACTGCTACATGTGGGCGTCTCTTCGGTTTCAAGTCGAAAGGTTTTTGATGGCAAATACCAATATCTAAAGTTCGGGTTGGGGCTCAGCAGGGTTTTATTGACTCTGACTCCAGGATGGAATAGAGCTTTAGAACTAGAAGCCTTTTCAATCGCACATTAGATCGATTTAAGTTTATCTCTTAATAGTTTCAAGGGACGGAAAAAGACTGAATTTGCTGTTGATCTAAATGACATGAACTTAAGAAAACCATGAGGTCCATTCTGTGGCGATTCTCGAGTCTAAACAACAGACAGCCTGGAGCCCCGAGCAGTTGCCTGCCTTGCCTGTTCACAAGCTGCACCTCTGGGTCCAATTAGCAGCTGTTCTGGAGCTTTCAATCATATTGCATGGCCTTCATCAGCAGACAGAGGTTGCCCACTTTTTCTGAGCCATTTAAGGACTTTTCATCAACTTTATCATGTTGAACAAACTCTAAGCTCAAAGGTCACTTACTAGCTTTTTGGAGCACGTCATGGTCATCATCAGTGAATGGAGCTAGTGACTGGTTTTGGTCTGGTGCTCACAGACAGCTGAAGTTGTCTGCTTTCATGAGATGCAGCTGAAAGCTCTAAAAATCTAGTAAGTGGGCCTTTGAGCTTAGATTATTTCATTAATATAGTACTACACTACGATTTACTGTATTGATATAAATATACAGTAATCTAAAGAACGAATTTAAAAACACAAGGCCTCATTTATCGGATTTATTATTTATTGATGTATCGACGAGGTAGAAAAGCGTCTGAAGCGGCGTTCAGGCCGCCAGGAGACACTAACACTCTGCCGTGAGCGGCAGGATGAGGTGGGCTGCAGCTCCTTAAGTGTAGCGGACAGTTGAGTAAAATCCACCCACACTGGAATGTTTTTGTATTTTGATCAGAAATCTGAAATGAATCAGAATAAAAACATACCGACCATGGAAATCTCCATTTTTCTATAACGTGGAGAAGAGTGATGATAGAAGATTCTTACTGAGCGACCACGACAGATTTTCTAACAGCATTCGAGAAAAAGATCAAGAGACAATATTTCTGTGCTGCCTCAAAACTCTTTTTTTTTTTTTTCCTTTAACCTAACTCACACAGACTCCTCCACCTCCCCCTCGCCCTCCCCTCTCCCCAACCACCCGCCAACTCTCTCCACTTGGACCATTAATTCTCCCAGCATGCTCTGGGCTTGTGTGCAGTGGACGGGTGGCAAAGAGAGCACAGAGGGAGAGCAGGAGGGAGAGAGAGTGTGCTGTGTGTGTGTCTGTGCTCACAAGCGGGGAAGAGCTGACAGATCAGGCCCAAGGGTTGTACATGGTGGTGTGTGTGTGTGTGTGTGTGCAGCTAGGTCTGCAGACGAGGAGGGGGCACCAAGCACCCCCCCCCACACACACACACACACACACAACCCTGGATGGCCTGCCTCATGTGTACACAGCAGGCCGGGCAGGCAGAAAATCCTGCCGGGCATCAACAACTCTGGACAGCGCTGCGAAGCCTGCAGGCGGAGAAAACAATGAGGATGCAGAGATGATGTGGAGACTGATGCTAACCACAGCATCACTGGAGATGAAGGCTACATTTACCATTGCATCTGCAGGAAACTGGACCTTTTATTTAAAGAGAAAAAAACAAATACTTGCCACTTAGGGCTTCTTGCTGCAACAACAGGGCTGTGATGCTCTTTGTCAGATTGGATATAATGCTCTGGTTTTCTACAGCAGTACCTAAAAGTAATAATCAACGTTTTTAGATGAATACATTTCCACTCGACCCACATATTTTTGATTGACATGGTTTATCTCATCAAGATGTAGAGCATAATGTGTATTTGTAAGGGAGACTGTCCCCACAAGAAAAAAAAAAGATAAAGAGTAGTTTCAGCAAATGCCCAGAAACGACAGGAAGTAGAGCGACGTCGCTGTAGAACCAAAATATCTAGAGAGGAAAGAAGTCGGCGTGTCGGAGCAGACCGCCAGCAGCTGATCGCTCCCCAAACTCAACCAAGTTATTGGTGTAACCATGAAAAACGATGCCCTCGTCCTCATGAAATCATGATTTTAACCCAAACAACAATCAATTCCTTAACTTAACCTAGTCCTAACTGAATTATAACAGCACTGGAGGACACAGGGAAATAATACTGTCAAAGAAGACGTACATGTGTTGTTCTGGGTCCGCTTTCACAAAGACAGACTCTGACTGTGGCTTAGATATAACAAATAGATTCATTCGTTGCACAAAGCAGTTTAGCTGTTGACTTTAGCCAAACTGTGTTACAATGAATTCTGGGTAAATTAAGACTTTTTTTTCAATCCACATCCAACCGCTCAGCTCTGTTTACCTCAACAGAAGAATAGAATTAAACAGTTACATGGACATTTCACATTTCACTCACTAAAATCTCTTCTTCTCTTTTCTCTCACCATGACGATGTTAGCAAACCACAAATTATAAGCCATGTTTTCCTGTTTTTTTTTTTTTTGTTGGGTGCTTGTCAGTGCAGGTGTCATTGTTTGTTACCATGGTAACATTGGTCTTAGGCCTGAGTTAGCCAGGGGGTAAGGTGTCTAATGTTTTTGGCTTAAAATGAGTCCGCCTTTATTTTTCTGGAGTTCTTGTTTCATGTTTAAAAGCTATACACGTGTCACATGTATATTCAGTGTGTAAAAACCAGTGAGGTAGCATTTAAACAAATAAGTCTTGCAGATTTGCAGCCACTGGTGTTTTTAATTTTTTTTAAATATTGGACAGACAAGTCCTTGATCTCTGGTGGATCAAAGAGCTGGTGAAGGACGTTTCACTGATTCGGTATCAGCTCCGGTTACAGGTTGACAAAGCACCTGGAGGATGACAGGTTATTTAAAAAGTTGCATCCTTGTGAGTTAAATAGTTTAGTTGCTTTAATTTGAGACCAATTAAAAAGTTCAGAGCTGAGAGAAGGAGAAAAAACATCACAGAGAACGAGAGTTCTTGGAAAGTCTTGAGACTGAGCTGCAACACAAACCCAACACACAAACACCACATGTATGTTTGGTGCATACATTGATAGCAAGCTTTAGCTAAAGCACTTTAATTGGTACTTTTTTTTGTAGCACAAATTGGCTTTTGCTTTTTATCTTGAATTTACCTTAAAAGATGCAACACAGCCAACTGTTAAGTCACAGACATGTCAATCAAGCACAGTCTGTAAACGCCCACACAGTCCTGAGAAGAGTTCTCATCAGGAGGCGAATGTAAACAGCTGTGTGGGAGGACCCTGGCTGTTTACTGGATTATTCCCATCTCTGGCAAATAATTTCCAAGAGTAACACAGTGCACATATTGATCTGTTGTTACCATTAGCTACTCAGAACTTCTAGTTTGTCCCTCTGCTGGGTTTAAAATACATTTCTCTCTTGTTGTGGCTTCAAAATACATTTTATTACAAACTAACAACAAAGCAAACTGCAAATTCCTTTGCTCACTGGTGAATTCTTCTAATTGTTATTACCTGCAGGTTTTACATTTGAATTGCTTTCTCATAATTGTAAAAATGTTGCACCAGCTGC